TACGTGACCCTGCTAAGATCACTGGCAGTTTGAGACTCTTGTATAATAAACAAAAAAAACATGTTGAGTTGGTTTAAAAAAAACCACTCAAGAACAATTGAGTGAGCTCGATATTGCGAGAGGACGAAGCGAAATAAATGAATTCCAGGGAAATCTATGATCAATGATCGGTGACGGATCGATGATGAACGCGATGATCGCCGAATCGATCTTTCGTCACGCTAAAAACGCGCCCGATAACAATACCGATTTCGAGCGCGAATGATTCATGAAACCGCGCGCGGCCCGTATAGTATACGCGGCGCGACGAAATTATAATACGTATACTATAATTATAGTGCGCAGTCAGCAACGGTGCTCCCACCGCGTGGCCGGGCGCCGTCCAATGCCGCAGTGAAAAGTGACGCTAGTCGCCAGCCTCTCCGAACGAGTGGTTACGCCCCGTGCAGGGTCAGACTCGCGGATCCGCGCCGCGAGTACCTAGTTATGTTTACGCGGCCAGCGTGGCTGTCAGGGCGAACGGAGCCGTCGTCGTCGTCGCGTGCATGCTCCCCGCTTCCCTCGCCGGAACCGATCCGGCCACGAAAAAGTTGCCGCGGTGGCTCGGCTCTTATCTGCACGACGAATACTTAACGACGCCTCGTACGAACGACGTCGTGCTCGCCGCGTGAATTTTCCACGCCACCCGCGAAGTTACGTGACGTTCGCACGTACGCTGATCACGAATGCAATAAGGCGTGCTGAGAGCGAGCGAGAAACTCGGTGAAGTGGATTCGGAGTGTGATTACCGATCACCGGCGTATTTCTCTCTCGCGATTACTCCGGATTTTCCGCTCGTCACCGGCGCGCGGCGGCCCCGAAATCGCAAACACATCGAGCACGCGATAAGGTTCCTATCAACAGATGCTCTCAACAGGTGATCTGACGCAGTCCGCGGGAAGTTTCGGAGTTTGGATGTGTTATCGCGAAAACGTAATGTTCGATAGTGTTATTGTCAGTCGTAGATTCGGCGCTCGCGTTGCCGCATCGCCGCTCGATTATATTATGTCACGCTTCTGACGTGAATTAACGCAAAGTTTTCTTTCGCCGTTTTTGAAATACGCACGCGACGTAACAACATCGTTGGAGTTTTTTTTTTTCCTACGAGACAGTCTTCTATCTTTATAGTCACTTCATCTCGTGAGTGATAGCGCGTACGACGGTATAGTTCCCGCCGGAGGAAAGTGTGGTCGCGGGTTGCGCTGCGAGGACCTTAGGAGTGTTGATTTTGTTAGTCAAGAGACGCGACGAACATGTTAGCTTCCATTAGCTGGCCATAATTAATATGCGCTAGCGCGAGAGGTAGAGCCCAAGTACCTTCGGCAACTATTGTGAAAGAGAGAAAGGAACATCTGGTACAGCGGAGGTGCTAAATACTTCGCGGACTCTAAGGAGCAGAGCTCCTCGATCTCGTCCACGGCATTCGTCTCATCGGAACTTCGTCAAGCTAACGAAGATCCCGGACTTGTAGACTTCGCGAGAAACAGTTTTACACGATAAAGACACTTCGCTTTCCTGATGAATGCTTCTCTAACGTTAGACGAGAATCGGAGCAACGTGAGCGTAATTATTTCAACGCTGTAAGACCGAGGAAGATTAAATCCGAGAAACTCTTCGCGAAATTGTCAAGCTCTTCGATGAGCTTGAATGGCGACGATGGGAGTTATCGTATATATTCCAAGTAGGTAATTTTCCTTCACGCTGCGTTTTAACTCCTTACGACGCTCGTGACTTCTTGTTATTGTATTTCATTTGAAAACTCGAGCTGAAGTCATTTATTTGTTTTTTTAATTTTATACGTGTCTTTAACGTTACTTTATAAATCTTCCACAGTTGCCGGAATATTGTAAAATATCAAATGTATCTGTGATAAGGGGACTCTTAGAAAAAAAAAGAGAGACGATATCGGCGATAATGCGACTTTCGAAGAGCATTTCATATATTTCCCTACCGCTTATCTGTCCCACGACTCCCACGACAACGTTCACTCAATAACCGGCCAGTAGAAATAAACCGTGAAAATTGCAGTGTCACTCGAATTTCCATGTTGCGATCGCGTTGCATGTTTATCGACCCTGACTCGCGCGACCAGGAAATCAGAAAAATGTGGATAGCGTCTCCTCAATCGGGTTGCCTTATGAGAAAGATAGCACATGATATAAATATGTATTTACATTGCCCGATCATACGATCTGCGTCATCGGTCGGCGATATGCCGACCTATATGACAACTCTATTGGCTCGCACGCACCGCTAATGAAATCATCTTGGGAATAATGAAATTAGAATGAGGATCTAATGAGTTTAGTTTGAATAAAAACAAGCGTTACGTAACGCGGCACAGTGTCGTCGAATCAAATGCGTGGCTGATCCTTGAGAAGTAACGCTTGACGACGTGATAACAGTATCGTTCTGTACCGTGCTGAGTCATGATAATTTGGCCGATGCATATATTCGCGCTAGTTACAAATTGACTAAGAACAGCCTCAGCTATTATTTTATAATTTAACAACTAATATAACGGACTTGTGAAGAACATGTGTACTAAAATAAAATATAACGTTTTTTATAGGCAGAATTATCTTCTCTAAAGAGCATCCTCTGCGTGATAAGAGTATATATTTTGAAATATAACACTAATTTACAAAAAGACGCGAATATATACAGTGCTAATAACTGTAGTGTTGTTTATAACAAAATCTAAAAATGTACAATTAAACTAAATTGAGAAATGGAAGAAAGAAAATTATTAAGACCGATAAAATTCACAATTATTGCGCGAATATATATTCTAGGAAGCTCACTCTTATCGCCTGCGGAAATGAGAGTAATATCTCTTGCTAACGACTATCGCGTATGAAAGCGCGATAAGGACGATCTATCGATGTAATATTTGGTGATCAATGACCAGATAGCATATTTTATAGCATATTTTTGACACTCATGATACAAAGTTTTACTAGGTTGATTAGAATATCATATTTGTCTTAAATTATTAAAACATGATAAAATAAAAATGAAGAGATCTTTAAATTTTCTTGATATTTTATATATCCTAATATATCTCGTGCTTAAGATAACGTAAAATTTCAAGCGCCTATATTTTTATTTGTTAATATAAATATCTCAAAACTGATATAAACCAAAGAGAAGATTAATACAGAATTAACCATACAATGCGAAGGAGCTAAAAAGAATGCGGCGCATTTCCTTTCTCGCAACTAGTTGATAATAACAACTTAAACCTGGAACTAGTCACGTACAGTTCGATGATACTCGGTCACGTTGTCTGCTTCTGAGAACGTTGTATCAGTCGCATTGTACCTTAGACGCGTATTTTGTGTCGTTTTAAGGCGCATGTGTACTAATATGAGGAAATGAAGAATTTCTCGGATGACCTCGTCTTTATTATGAATCGTATAAAAATCATGCGCTGTTAATATAAAAACGGCAATTAAGTGCAAATATTTTCTGACATAAAAAAGTTCTTTCCCTAATGCTAATTGACGATGAGTGTGGAAAAATTTAATTTATTCATAACCGTACTGTGAACGATAACAGTCTTGCAGATAGCATCGAATTGGACTGAATTACAAACGAAGCTTAGCTTGTTTACGAAGAAAATAAGATAAAGTTAGAGTGGCCATTCACGCAATTATCAGTTTTGTGTTTTATGAAAACAGTATTTCTATAAGGATATCCGCGTAAATACGCGATGCAGTTTAATAAGAGAATTAAAGCTTGGTAAATGAAGATATTTAGGATATTCTTCTTAACATCTGACAGTTATATTCGGAAAGTGACAGTTTTCAATTGTTGAGAAAGATGACATATATCACTTTAACTCTACCTCAAGAGTTTATGAAAATAATCGTATATGAAACTGACAGAACTTTATTATACACATATCAGTATTTTATCAACAAAAGTGATAGGACTTTATTTATCTATATAACGAAACAAATCGATCGTCTCTTTCAAAATAACTGTTCATGGTCAGTGAAGAGCTTGCAGTAACTTTATTTCTTGCAACTAGTGCAATATTGTTTGCAATAATGATAATCTACTGATAACGGGATTTATGTGCCAATGTATCTTCTTTATGTTTGCGCGCCTTTTTCTTGTCAATTTTATCTCACAATCGGTGTGGACTTTAAATTCGATTGATATTAATAGGCATGTTTGATTAATGATATATTTTTTATTATCTTGAGTCATTAAACTCCCTTAAGACACGTAAAACCTTTTCAAAAAAATATATATATATACTCTAATAATATAAATTTATATATATAACCTTTTTTATATGTATATCAAAGTAATGAAATTGGTACAAAGTAAACACAAAATATATGAATCATATTAAAAAATGTTTTTTTTTTTCTGATCAATAGTGAGACAATCTACTAATCAATAAGTTTTACGTTTTCTTATTCTTACATTAAATGAAGAATATTCCGCAGATAGTGTACTACTGGTATAGTCATAAAACTTGTGCATGTTGTAAATAGTCGTCCGTGCAAAAACCGGTTGTAGCAAATGTCATGTTTGCGAAGAAGTGTTTGCTATCGAAAGGCCCGAATACCGACGTATCAGAAATTGTATTCGTTCATCTGTAAATGCTTTTTGTAGTCACGTTAAACTTGGCGCAAACACGATGTTTGCGAGAGAACATTACGTCCTCGAAGAATTTTCACGCGAAATGTAGACAACGACCTACTTCGGCATTCTTTTAGGATTGTAAACACAAAGCTGCGTTCGTGAAGATAAGACGTGATTATATCAGGACTTAAATACTCGCATCGCATTTCGAAGGCACCATGTTATTTAATATAAACTAATATAAACATGCTACCGAAATAAATTTTTGAAACATGCTTTTAATTCTTCTCGCGTTATTTGTACAAAATAATTATATAGGATAGAATTCTCCAATTTATTATATTTCTATTGTGTTTCAGGCATGTACACCATGCGCATGTTGGACAATGGTAGCAACAATGCATCCGGACCGACCGGTGCAGCGGCCTTGCCGGGTGTCCCGACAACTGGCGGCACAACTTCGACGGCCACGGGTGTTACGACTCTACCTGGTGTAGCCGATGAAAGGATGGATGCTTCAAGTGATAGCGCTGTCAGTAGTATGGGTAGCGAGCGCGTACCATCTCTATCGGACGGCGAATGGATGGAAACTGGATCCAATTCCAGCCATACTCAGGCCGACTCCCATTACACCATGGATTACGCAAGGTAATTAATATCACAAATGCATCATTCGTGACATGGATCGGATTATCTTTAAGACACGGAATAATTTTGGTTTGTTTCGTTTTCAAGATATCACGATTGTACATGAGAAAAATCTAATTTGTAGTATACTCTGCAACGTTTATCAATAATCTTTTAATTGTATTGCAGCAAATATCGTATGCCATACGACTGCAACTACTCAGTGTCCGCGAGAAACGCCGGCTCGCCGAGATGCCAAGCAGAACGAGCGGTACCACCAGTCGCACAGAAGAAACACCAAATGTTCGCCAAGCGATATTTCCAGGAACAAGGCACTTGTTAGTATTTAGAAGTAACCTTATGATTGCAGTTTTTCAAGTCGCTATGATATAAGTTTAATCGTTAAACAACTTTCAAACTAGGCTCACCTTTAGGGGCTACCGCACATCCGACCACTCCGATGAAATATGATTATGATACTCATACAGTTGGTGCGGGTGCACCGGGAAATACATATTCTGGACCAATCGAAGGTGCGGCCGGGCCACAGCCAGAAATGAAATATAGCTGCAGTGTGGATTTCAGCCGTCATCAATCCGGTAAGAAAAAATTTTATATGTAGATTTATTTAATACAGCAAATATATCCTCTTGAATAAATGAATAATTTTATGTAAATATAAATTTCTGATTTTTTTTTATTTTCAGGACGATCTGTAATAGAACATGTTCATCACAATCACACCTATCATTTGCCCGCTGAGAGCTCAGGATCTCTTCAACGTCCCATTTCCCGTGACAAGAAAGGTAACTATCTTTCTAATATTTTTCATCATTTGTTCAAATCACCTTTTTTTCGATTGTTCAATTTCCTGAGATTATCAATATTAAATTTTTATCTATGTCAAATATAAATTTTAGTCCGCAAAAACGAAGCAGAGGAGCATCTAACAAGAGATGAGAAGAGAGCAAGAGCATTGAGTGTACCGATTGCAGTCAGTGACATCATCAACCTTCCCATGGACGAGTTTAACGAACGTCTCAGCAAATATGATCTCAGCGAAGCCCAACTATCTTTAATACGCGATATTAGGAGACGAGGCAAAAACAAGGTTGCCGCACAGAATTGCCGTAAACGCAAATTGGATCAAATCATAAGTCTAGCTGATGAAGTGAAAGAGATGCGAGATCGTAAGTTGAGGCTCATCCGCGAGCGCGAGTTTATGCTCATCGAGAGACAGCGGGTGAAAGACAAATTTAGCCAACTTTACCGTCATGTTTTTCAGGTCAGTATTAACTATTAATCTCATTTCCATTGCAGTTATATGTAATTTAAGTAACGGATAATTTATTATATTATTTTCGAGTAAAATGCTGTTAAAGGCGATAAAAGAGAAGCTATAATATTTGATAAATTATATTTTAGTCTTTACGGGATCCGGATGGTAATCTGTACCATCCGTGCGAATACAGTCTTCAACAGTCTGCAGATGGGAACATCTTGCTAGTTCCCAGAAATCAGACGAATCCGCATCAGTCGCGACAGTCTTCGATGGAGCCGAAGACTAAACCCGATCCTGAGCACAAGGAATGAACTGCTAAAGGATTGTATACGATGTGATTGATTTAATTGAAAAACTTTTGTTTTTCTTGGGCAGCGCGTCCAAAGCGTAATGAAAGCGAACACGGGCAGCGAATATTATACGCGTTATTAGATTTATTGCGTATAATTCGAAAGAGTAGCGTTCATGGTTTTAGACCTGACACACCTCGCACTGTGTCCAAATAAACAACGAAATTCGTCAAGGATACCGGCTTACGAATCGCGACTACGTGATTTTTGGCAGATGACTTTTTAACACATTTAGAGATTTTAGTAGGAAGAAAGATAGGATTAATTATTCTAATGGTGGTTTTTGTGTGCATGGGTGATGCTACAGTTTTCAGTTACTTTGACTACCCGTGTTAATACATTTTCACATCTAAATATCATAACTTCATGCATTTTCTTTTCATTTTTATAATCAAAGATTTTTATATTACAGAAAGTAGAGCATCGGGTATCATTGTATTTGTTTGTATATATAATGTATCTTGTCTGTTGTGACTGTCTTTAATAAGATCAATAATTAATAATAAAATAAAATCGAAAGCTTCATGAATTTCCTATGCTTTATTTAAGCTACGTAGATGATCTTAAAATATGTTTCATGAGTTTATACTGGCCTTATAGCGACATATAATACTACTCGTGAAAAAATAATGGAATGTGTTATAGTATGCGAGTTTCTCTGTGATTGCCTAAACCAGGCCTGCAGCTGGTTTGCCCTTTTCAGCCGATCTTGCTTGCTATTCCTACTTCTCTCGTTTCGTAGCATTTCGGCTGTTCGCGGAGATGTAAGGGCTCGAGGACAGTATTAACTACAAATTGTATAGAGTTATTATTATTATTATGTACATTGTGTATATATAATTATATAGGTGTATATAATATATACACACACATATAATATATATAATAATAATAATAATAACTCAATAAACAGTGAACAACGCTCAGGGCAATACGCACCAAAGTCCCATACGATTTATAACTAATACCATTCCTGAACTCGAGTGTTACATCTCCGCGAGTAGCATAGATGTTACGAAATAAGAGAAGTGGGAAGAGCAGTGGACAATATCGGCCGAAAAATGGAAACCGGCCTAGCTGCAGACCTAGCCTAATACAAATCACAATGTCTATAGCGTTAAAAAAAAGATTACAACTATTAATATACGTAAATAGTAAGAAAACGTAGTAAGATGGTTATATTGTGGAATCACGCACGAGAACTGTTGTGTCACCATAATTAAAGCAACTCTAAATTAACATCTAATTCCAATTACTATTCTTCCTGCTTTAAGCGTAAAATATGCTTGTCATCTTCTTAATATACGTACACGTGTAACACACGTTGACACACGTACAGTGATATATTATACATTCAAAAAGCTCATTTTTTTACATTCGCGAAACAGATTTTATCACGTTTCGATATCATTATTTTTATGAATTGTATCTATGATTATGACATATATGAATTGAATTATATATTTCATAGATATAGAAGCACAGACGATTGCGTTGAATGTATCCAGTGATTTTTATCTATTCAGTTGATTGTGTGTGATTATTATTGTTAGCGGTATACTTAATTGCCAAAATTATGATACACATTCATGAATAAATAATGCTCACTGTCGCAAGCAAAACGCTACGGCATTGAGTACGTCATCTGCGTGTGACAGTGTTAGTAAAACAAATGTTTAATCACACGCGTATGTATTATTAAATAAAAATTTGTTGTGTTATATGAACTTAGAAAATACGCATGATTTGAAGCGCTTACAGTTTCAGAAGTGGTAGCGTTATGGATAATAATGCAAAATTGTAATTAATGTAATGCAAAATTGCATTTAATTGCGGACAAAGTAGGGGGCAAAGCGATAAAAGGCAAATGATTGAGGCATTAGTGGGATACAGCAAACTTGCAGTAACTAATCTCCGAACCATTTTGTGTTCCATATAGAAAGCAGCTTAAACAGATACCTTAAATTTCACTCCATTCAGGTAGACTACATGCAAAACACATTGTAATGTATATTACAAATAATATAGTAAATAATACAAGTATGTGAATATACACTTACTGCGACACGTTGTAATGCTACAATATATTAAGAATAGCATTCATTGAAATACGAACAAACATAATAAAAACACATATTTTTATAAAGTAAAGAGATGAGAAATGTTCAGGTATTTCACATTTGCCTTTTTATGTATATATTAATGTAGCTAGTATAATTTTCTATAAATATTATATATAAATATATATATATATATATATACATATATGAAATAAATGTATGTATTTATGTATATGCACGTGTATATATAAATACATATACACAAAGAGTAACGATAAAATATATGTTATAACGTTGAAAAAAAAAACGAAAATGCAATTTATGTCGGTAATTATTAATAATCATTATTAACATTTACATACGCAATTGTATTCATACTATTGGGTGTAGGATGCCTTTTACATATTGTACTTAGCGAGCGGAGATCTCGGCAAAACATTGTAAAAGATAATAATAATAATATTAATTTATAAGAACTCTCTGTTCGTCTATTGTACAAACAATTTGGATTCGCGCAAACTTGCAAATCCATCTACTTGCAATGAAGATCTCCTTCTGTCATTAAATTTCTATATTGTATAAATAAAGCTGAATAAAAACCTCTGGGGAAAGTATCGTATCTGACTTGTATTTGTCTAATTAATCAATACCTATTTTTATATAAATATTCATGTTTATAGTACCGTGAATGTGTCGCGGCAGTAGTTCACGACTTTGATCAAACTCCAATTAACCCTTTCATCCTGAACCTTTAAAATTTAATTAAAGAGATTTTTAATTAAAGAGAAAAAAAGTTGTTAACTTGACTAAATGCGTTCAACTGATTACTATTTTTTTAATTGAAATATTTAAGTATTTAAATCAAATTACGTCATGTTAGAGTTAATATATCATATTTAATTTAGACCATCTTTTTTAAGTACAATCTTAAGATGTCATTAACCAATCACAGAGCCGTATTAGCATCTTAAGTATTGAAATAAGATCTGATTATGATTTGGTACATCAGGTGCATGCGCATATTGCGCATGCGCGCTATCGTCTGTCTTGAGCAGTCTCGAGACTTCGAGACTCTCGAGAGAGGTTGCTAGGAAACCTTATAAGTTCGCTCGTTTATTTAACGTGCAAGATGACGTCTAAATCGTGGTTGAAGATTATTCAAGATGCTAGGAAAACTGCTGTTATCGAGGATGGTAAGTGTAATTAAATAGCTTTACGATTTATGATTATTGTCGATTAAACCACGTGTGGGTTTACGGCATGCCTGTTTTTAACCTAAAAATGTTTGATCAATAGTAGACTCGTGTAATCTTATGCATTATTACACAAGCTTGAACAGGACAATGTAGCATTTTATTGAAATATTATTAAACTAAACTTGTTATTAATTCTGTAAAAAAATATTTTTTTAAATTGACATTTTTTGTTATGCTTATATTTATGAATATACATGAGTTTATCTTTTATAATAACATTTCAAATTATAGTCCTTTAATTGAGACAATTAAATTTTACAGTGTTAAATGTTTCAATTAATGCAAGAAGTTTTTTATTGATTTTATTATGTTACGTTACAGGAAAGAGGAAAGTTCATTTTTTATTGGAAGATGGAAAGGAAATGGTAGAAGAATATAACACAGATACAAATGTAGTGGTACGACGGGCATGGAAAGAGAAAAATAATTTTGGTACGAACGTTGGATGGACGGTGGAAGTTGGAGACCCTGAACTTAAACAGAGTAATATAGAGATATATGGAATAGAAGAAAGTTCAAATGCTGTATGTCATTTTCTTTTTGTAAATAACAGAACAAGTATATAATTCTAACATGGTTATTCTGAAATTTTAAGCAATATCTGTAATTGTACGTACAATGTATTTTCTAAGTTTATCATCTTTTTGCAGCCGTTTATTACAAGAAGAATTACAAAAACGTCTCTGGAATGGCGAATCAGAAATTTACCATATCCTGAAAGTGTGTATTCCATTACTGCGGAACAGGATGGCACTATGACCGTACGTACAAGCAACAAAAAATATTTCAAAAAGCTAAAGATCCCAGATCTGGAGAGGATCGGATTGAAGCTGGAACAGCAAAGGATATCATTTCGGCATCAGTACAATACTTTAATTATAACGGTATGGAAAATACTTTTTTGTACATATTTTGCTATGTAGGTATAGCTTATTCGTTATCATTTATTTTCTATTTCTATTCTAGTATAAAAAGCCTCCTCAACTTCTCGACGTGGAGAAAAAGGTATTAAACACAGTTTTGGAACTGAACACAGAGTCTAAGGATGTGCAGTGTCCAACCAGTTAATGAGATACTATGATTAAGTTAATAAATTTCTTGTTTTCCATCAAATAATTTTTTAATATATAGGTTCTATTTTCTATAGCTGCACTGACTACATTAGTTTAAGAACTGTACATACACTAAGGGTTAGTTTTTTATTACTGAACTGGCTGCATTAGTTCAGAGTTGATTTTTTTTACTCCACATTAGAAGGAAAAAGGTGAACTCCGAACTATAACGGTTCAGCAACGGAAAACACCCTAAAGTGTAAGTCTCATACGTTTCTCACGCTTCAATGTATATGTATGCTTCTTGAATTAATGCAGCTAGTGCAGCAATAGAAAATAGACCTACAGTTTGTATGTAACAAGTGCAATTATGATTAAATATTTGTTACTTGAAAATTGTATCAAAATTTCTGTGATTATATCTTATTTTCTTAACTGGAGAGTAATGAATAATAATCGTATAATAATGTAATAATAATCGAATCCTCAAATGTATCTCTCAGTATCTCTCATTGGATGTGCAATTATGAAAAAATGTAGCCAAAATAAAACTCTGGAAAGAAACAGTTTTAACTGCAAATTAAATAGCAGAATCTGAAAATGGATTGACTTTTTTTTATAAATATCTTTCCACTGCAGTAGCATCTTCTAATTTGTAAAGATGTACGTGTCAGTTTACATGAAAAATCCTACGGGATTTTTTGGTTATGTATATCTCATTAGAATTTATACATTTTCATAATCACAACTTTTAATCTCTCTATAAATAATGTTTGCAAAAGTGTTTCAATTAAAATGTAAACAAATAAAAGTAAATGCATACGAATTCTCATTTTCTTTAAAACTCAAGAGATATGTTCACGCTACAGCAAAGTAATCTTAAGTAACATCAAGTTAATCTTTGATGATAAACGTACACATCAAAATCTACATCAAGAAGAATCTATTAAAGAATTATTTTCGTTTCTCGCAATTCGCTTCGGAGCCCACGTTAACCCGCCGAGTTGTCGGTGCCGCGCCGCGTAGTCGAGAGATCGATCGATCGTTCTGCGTCGTCGATTCCGCGCGAGTGCGTGTGGTGTGACGGTGACGGTGGTATTGCGTTTCAAGACTTTCAAGTTTCGAGTGTTATGCGGTCCCTTTCGCGTGAAAATCTTTGAGCGAGCGGGAAACATGACGAATTCGGTGCCGGACAGGTAAGCGGCTTTCCGTTTCCCGCGCGGGGGGAGGACCGCCGAGTCTCTCGAAACGGTGGAGATCGCTCGCGCGGCGCGATCGCGAGCGCGGTCGTGCCGCGACGAGGTTAGGTTGCGCCGACGTTTCCCTGACATCTCGGCCTGCGGCCGCGACGCTAATAACGCGATCGTCGATCCGCGAGGCGAAGTGCGGCTTTCATTTGTCTCTCGCGCGTCAGACAGAACACAGAACCGACGGCGAAACGTTCCGCTGGAATTTCGGGAACGCGATCCGACGCTATCTTCGGGGACAGCTGACTTACCAACGGAGCGAGCGTGTCGCGCTCGCCCGTCGTTTCCCGCCTTTTTTCCCGAGATGGGGTTGCCTGCCTGATCGCCATTTGAAATACGAGCCAGTTCGATTCGCGCGGGTCATTAGTCTTCGATCGGGTCTCTCGGGTCTCGCGAATTTTCGTTACGTTATTTAATAATTATCGCGCCGGGCGTTTAGTTTACTTAAGTGACGCATTCTCATAAAGCGGCCGATATCGATTAGAGTTGAGAATGGGACGGAGAATGACGCGTTCCCGCAAGAAGTACGTATATTTGAAATCGTAGGTATCGATTTAAAGCTGTTGGTTAAAACCGGTGGAAAGGCACGGAAACGAAATGACCGACACCTAAGTATCTCGATATTTCACACGTATCGTGTCTTTTCGTACGTTTAGATGTGCCCCTGAAAATACCAGAATCGGAGAATTGAATCGAACGTCGATAAATGAATGTATAAAGTTCCGTATTTAATCTGTTGATCGATGAATCCAGCTTCGGAGATTCAGCATACTTTTCTGCTACCAAATCGCCACGAAAGCAATTATTATCAATTCTGCAACTATAGTCGTTTTTTTGTATGTTTCAGATGGTTAGAGTACAAAGCTTTCGGCGATGTGATCAAAGGCACCAAGATCCTGGCGTTCAAAGTTCCGCTGAAAGACGTGAGTATCTGCGCCATACGCCTCGCGTATTTTTTTAACTTGCAGTACAACTTTTACAATCTGTGGGATTATTTGGAAAAAAATTGAAAATAGAATAAAATTAGCAATTTTTATTATTTTTAGCATATAAATAAGAAGGAAATTTTAGATTAAATTTTAGATTGTAATAAGAATGGTCCAGAAATTGATTGTAATGAATGAACAGAAAAAATGTAACAAGCACCACATAGTGATGCATTTCTTATATTTTTCTGAATTGTGTGAAGGAAGGATGATATATGAATCGATTAGAATAAACAAGAAAAATGTAACAGGCATCAGAAATGTGATGCATTTTTTATATTCTATAACTAAAAGCATTGATCCCCACGTTGTGAATATGTTGTAGATTGTATGTAAATAATTCGTTTTTTATGCAACATCCATAGGAAATCCATAAAAAACAGGATATTGTGGAATAAATAATTATTAATATAGATATATATTCCTCTCTAGCCTTTTCGACATCTGAATCATCTGAACTTGAATGCCGGATCAGTAATTAAAAGCAAAGTGATTAAGGATTAAAGGCTGATTCTTCTCTCGCTATTTTCAATCTTTTATATTGAATGATGTTTTAATTTTTGTATTCCTCTCAAGCTTTTTCAAAATCTGAATAATATATATTTCATATACCTACTTGAATAAATATACTTGAATAAATATACTTGAATATATATATTTATATATATAAATTAATAAAAATCTCAGCTCACAATTTCACTGACAGAACCTATATAGAAGAAGTTTGCAAAATCACTGAAGTTTAGTGAGATTGTATATATATTTTATTCACACACATTCCACAATATCCTAGTTTTTTGTGAATTTTCTAGGAATTTTGTAAAAAAAAATGAATTACACGAAATCCCTGCGACGAATATAAAGACAAGATGTATCTGTAATTTGACTAGATTACAAATGTGTATCTGTAGATAAAGCGTTATATATTGGCGCGGTCTACTTGCTAAGAATGTTTATATCTTACATTCGAAGGTAACGAAAAGCGCGTTTGGACTCCTCTCTGATTTACTCTAAAAAAAAAAAGTTTTTAAGAGCGCATCGCTCTCGCGGAACGCAGCCGCGGTTCGCTCGGGGACAGAACGTCCTTCTTATCCGTCGTCCTCCCGGCTTCCCCCTCGTTCCTCGACTCACTCGACTGTCCTCTCCCGTACTTTTCCTCCCGCACTAAATCAAAGATTCTCTTCGCGGGAGTCGTGGCGGCCGCACGGCAGATAAGATCGCGTCGGATTCTCGAAATGGACGACGCGGCAGGTACACGCGTCGTCGCTACGCCACGTGCGCGCGTGTGTGTGGGTGCGTTACACGCAGGCACGCCCGCAGGCACGCACGTACGCACGGCACGGCTCATGGGATCGCGCGGCACGGGTTCCCCGTTAAATCGATGCGACGTCGGGGAACCGGAGGAATATGAGAGGGTGGAGGACGGGAGAGCCGCGCGTCTCCGGCGGGGATGTAGGTAACGGGAGGGTGGGAATGCAACGTCGTGAGATCTCGTATCGGCCGCGGCCAAATTGTCGTATTGTTGCGCACGATGACCCACTCCGTAGTAGATATAAATACGCTTGATGTATGCGTGCTCCTTTTTTCAGCCGGTGCACGCGCGGTATCGCCGGCTGGTGCACGCTGCCGCCGATTCTCCTCCGAGAGTCTAAATCCTCCGGCTAGATAAAATGTGTGTGCTTCAATGCCGGCCGCTGTAGCGCGAGCTGGTTGACGTATAGTTGTTCACGCTGCGATCCATCGCTTCTCATTGAATTCCTTTCCGGAGTTTCCGGGAATAGAATTTCTGTAAAAGGGACAGACGATTATTCAGAGTGTAATGATAAAATTCTTGATTCATCTGTCATAAGTGACGATATTATAACCGGGGTCGGCATCGATTCTATTTACTGCTGTTTCTAACATTCATCTTTCAATATGCTTACTTTTTATTTGTTGAAGATTATAAAATATTTGGTGGAATTTGTGACACAAGAATTATTGGAAAAAAACCACGAAATAAGAACCAAAATAATTTTGTTTCTATGAAGAAATTATATAAAGTTAAGAATGAGAATACAATTACGTGTTAGATTGTCGAATTAACGTGTTGGATTGCCGGGTCATAGCTTTTGCATAATCTAATATATGTAATTATTGCATAATTGTAATTAGAATATTAGTATATGATTATAATAATCATGCTACTTTTTTTTTTCGTTTGTTATTTATCTCATATAGGTAGACACAATACTGAGAAATACTAACAATCGTTCGCAGTGTTCGCACATGACGAAGATTTTAATTAAATGCAACAATAGTGTTCTTTGTACATATTTAGAGATAAAATGGATGAGCGCGAGTTGATGTTAATTAATTCTATACTCTTGCTCGAAAAATACCTTTCATAAACAAGAAAATGTTGTTGGCGCCTAACGGCTGCGCGCCCCGCAGTATTTTTACCACCGAAATAATAAGTCGAGATCACACTGTCGCTTCCTGGTTATCGGCCCGAGGGGCCGCGCATACGCCACGTTGCATATATGCTGATTATGGGCGGTGCGGCGCGTAGTCTCCTAATTGACGGCACAACGGTGCCCAGGTTTCACAGGACATAAAACACTTTTATATACCTTCGACTCCGCGTCGAGATCTCATTAAAGCACGTAACGATAGTCCGCCTAATTGACCGTGCTATCCTACGAGCGCGCACTCCTGATCGGCGTATATACTCGTCGAATCTCTCCGCTAACATAATCTCTCACGCCGTCGTCGTGATTCTCGTTATCTCGCCAAAGATACGATTAGACGGGTCATTTTTCATGACAATTATCCGCTAACGATAGTCTATATGTTAATCAACGTTGATCAATTATCGACCGCGACTACAGCTTGGTGGATGACGGTGGTGGTTTCTGATAACTTCTTTTGAGAGGAAAATCGCGGCTCTTTATTTTATTCGCCTGCCGATAATGCTATTTACTCGTGTTCGTTATTGCAACGTTTATGGCATAACGATATAATATATATTTTTACATAATTAATAAAGATAATATCTTTTGTCATATCTTTAAAGGTAAAATTAATTGCGCGCGCGAATTTCATTGATGTTAACCCGTTGACGTTAAACTTTAATAGCTCGACTAAAGACTCGAGGGACTTGGCGCCGTCCTTTATCCAGTCGTAACGTCCGCTGGATCTATCGCAGGGCCCGGTCGTGTCAAAAACCCGCGGGATTCCGAGCGGCGAAATTAGCGATCCTAATTCGCCACACGGTCGGAGGTGAGCAGCAACGTTCTGATCCCCGTTTATCCCGAGCTATTTAATTTCCGCCTAACTCGCGGCTTCGGAACCGGTTTTTCTCGTCCACCGGCCGTTCCCGCGCGCGCGCGCAGGACAGTTGCAAATAAGTTTCGGCTCACCGAGATCGCCTGCTATGCATATACGTTGCGCATGCATACGCAAAATAGGAGGGTGCCAGGGCTAATTGATTCTGGCGTCGCGGGCATTACATAAAACAAGTCGAGGCCGGGGCCCCGAATTGGACTCGGGGTTGATTGGGCCCGCTACGGCGGCGGCGGCGGCCGCGGGGGGCCACTCGTTAATAGGGCCCTCAAAGGGCCCAGTGCCAGCGCTCGTTCTTGGGCTGCCTTGGCTCGCGCGCACGGCGAACGCTTCTTCATCATCTATAAGAACTTGTAACAAATATCGGCTCACACGAAACGTGATACTCTCTTCGCTCGACGCTTCACCGTAGGCTTTCTGTCTTTCTCTCGTTCTACTCTGGATTGGGGAACGATGCTGATCCGACGGATTTAAGATGGCGTTAGTCATATGCTCTCGGCGGATGCATCCCCGTGCAGAGTTGCCTCTTCTATGATGAATTATGGAAATGAGAAGAGAAACACTTTGAAATAGATCCCACTTTTAAATCTCGAAACTTGACGTTATATAAATATTGCTCCTACATTTCCTTTTATTACTTTTACATAATAGCTATACAACTGAAGGTAAAAGCAAATTTGAATAAAAACCGAAACGCTATATTGATTACTTCTTATTTTTCAAAATTTAATTTAAAATTTAAATTTTTCTTCAATAATAAATCCACTCTTTGACAATGATGTGTAAATGTGTGTATATTTTCATTAGATAATCGGAATGCGAGATAAATAGATAACTATCAAGTTTTCTCTCACTGTTTCTTTTTGAGCGATAGCGGGGACTGCACATTTCGATCGACTATATATTTTTTGGACTGTCACAGCAATGTGGGCGATTTCTGCACGGTGGTAGAATATTAATTCGTCGGGGAGCTAGGGTAGGCCTCGCTCGAGAAGATAGCGTCTCTTCGTGGGTGATATCTGTATTTCAACCCTCGAAAAATCCCAAACATTGAGATCGTAATCGCATGAACTTCTCAGTTACACACGGGCTACTCGCCCTCGTCGTAAGCAGCCGTGTCTTCGGGGATAAGATGAATGGAGGGATTGATCATTTTGTGTTTTAAATTTGCCTAACATTTTCTAGAGGAATGTATCCTTCCAACGGTGTACTGAAGGATAACGCGTTTCGATTCACGAGATACAATTTATTCTCTCTGTCTGCAATCAAAATCAGCAAGCCTCGAATATATTGTGGTGTCAAAATTATTTACAGAATTTTTACAGACTCTGACATAAGATGCAACTGTTGACATTTATTTTTGACACAAAGTACAACTTTGATTTTACTTTGGTTAATATAGTTATCGGGGAAACGAAAACACGCAACATTCTTTAGAGATATATATGTACATCTATATTTTATACATAGATTCTTTATTTTTTAACTGTTGAAGTTTAATGAGACTTTTTCTCGACGCTTGTTCATTTGATTTCACAGTATAGTCTTAATCGTGCCCAAATATCCCGTCGACTTGTTTGATTAATTCCATTATGATAACCTAGGAATGTAGG